GGCACACTAAGCCACAGAGCTGCACACCCTCAGGCCTAACACTGCCCCCTTGCCCCAGGAGAGCTGTCCCTGTCTTTCCACCACCAAGAGCTCACTTTTCCTCCTAGACCAGTCCGAGTGAAACTTTTCTCCTACATCTTCCTCAATTACCACTCAATTCCTCTGCTCCCTCCTCTGTGCTCAGATTACTCTGTGTCACCATTTGCCTCGTATTACTGGTACTTGTGAACATGTGCCTCCATCACCACCCCGCCCAGACTGTCAGATCCAAGGGCAAGGTCGGGGTCTTTTCTGTCTCCATATCCCCAGTAGGGCTGAGCACAGTGCCTGGCTCAACAACCATGTGCTAAAAGGAAAAGAAAATCACGTGAGAGAGAAGAATGGGGTTTGGGGAAAACGGGCTGGGTTAATCCCAGGAGGGCTTCCTGCAAGGGGCAGCCTTAAACCACCACCTTTAAGAGCAAGACATGAGCAAGGAGGGAGGGAAGAAGGGAGCTATCCTAAATCTGGGGTCAGCCCAAGCAGGAATTCCCACAGCAAGATCACCTGTTAGAACACAGTAACTGGTAAACGCTTTGCATTTGTGACCTCATTTAAACCTCTTTTGACGCAGGTGCCTTTACACCCATTTTACTGATGAGAACACTGACATATTCAGGAGCTAGTAAGCGGTACAGCTGGGATTGGAACTAAATCTGTAGGACTCCAAAGCCAGTATTCTGAACCGCTCTGAATCACAGTGGAGAGGATAGGGGAACATTGGGCAGGAGGGCAGACAGAGCCTGGGATTGGGTGGGACACGGGGAGGGGAAGGGAGGGGTGGGGTGTGAGGGACAGAAGCTGAGGGGAGGGGTGGGCTCACGAGAAGGCCAGGAGAAGGGGCGCCTGGCTGGCTCGGTCAGTGAAGCATCCAACTCTTAATCTTGGGGTTGTAAATTCAAGCCCCACGTTGTGTGTAGAGATTACTAAAAATAAAATCTTAAAAGAAGAAGAAGAAGAAGAAAGCAACAGCAAGGGGAAGAATGTGACCCCTGGGGTCCTAGTGGCTGACCTCCTAGGAGCCAGGGTGGGTACAGGGAGGTGGGAACAGGAGTCTAATACTGCCGACCCCTCCCAAACTTCCTGGAGTTTACACCCACCAAGACCCCAGAGGAATGGGATTGGCTCATCTAGGGCTCCCTGCTGCTTTCTCTCCAGAGGAATGGGGAAGCTTCTTTGGGCCTGGCAGGCCTAGGGTCTCACGCTGACTCAAACTCATACACTGAGAGGTCTGGAACAAATATGTAGCTCCCCTGAGCCCTCATTTCCTTGTCTGTGAAACGAGGATGAGAGCACTGGCCTTGTGAGACCATCCTGAGGTTGGCACAAGATAACCCAAGAAAACCTCCTGGCTCGCACCCACGCGCTTGGGAAATGCTAGCTTTCTTCCTTCCATCTGTCTCACAGCCAGAAGCAGAGGCATTTGTAAGGCAGAGAAACTCAGGGAGAGAGGCAAGGGATCCGGACTCCGGGGGAGGTCCAGGAGCTTGCCACAAGCCACCAAACTCAGGCCAACCGTCGAGACGCCAGTTGCCACTTTTTGACACCCCTCCCCTGATCTCGTGGCCGTCGCCCCCCACCTACTCACTCCAAACTGCACACGCATGCGTGTGTGTGCACGGACATGGTAGTCTCAGCCAGAGTCTCCCCATTCTCTTTCCTGACCTCTTCCTAACACGTGCTCAACACAAACCTCCTCCCAAATTTACTGCACACACGCACACACCTCTGCCCCATCATCCTGTCCTGGTCTGGCTGAGATCAGGAGCAGGGGATCACAGCATCTGGAACTCCCAGACTGGTGAGGATATGACACACAATGCCCTTATTTCGTGGCTCAGCTGAGCCACAGCTGGAAGCCAGGTGGTGCCCTTTCTAGGACCCCTGGTTGGCTCAAACGTCCGGATCTCAGGACCTTGCATGCTTCCCAGCACATCCACCAAGACAGAAAGCTCTGCAAGGGCAGCAGCGAGCCTCCTCTTCGGCCTCCTCCTCCTCCTGTACCTCCACCCTTCATTTCTTTGCCCGGCCGGAGCCCGGCTCCGAGTGTGAGCCCGGTCCACTCCCCACCGGGAGCCCACGCCTACTAACAACAGCTGTTGTCCGCTCCGCGCTTACTAGGATCGGAGCCCACGCTGTCCTCACATACACCATCTTGTTTAGTTCTCTTGACAGCCTGTTCCTGTTTTGCAGTTAAGGAAACTGAGGCTCAGAGAGGCAAAGTTAACTTTTATGGGGTCATCAGCGGGGATCCAATTCACTGGCCTTCGCCCCGCCCCGCCTGGCACCGAGGCCCCACAGGGGATGGGAGCAGGGCACACCTTCCTCTTGGTGATGCTCCGGAGCAGCTCGGCCTTGCTCCGGAGCAGCCCCTGGCCCGCCAGCTCACGCTCCTCCTCCACGCGGCTCTCCCGCTCCAGCTGCTGGAACTCCAAGTCCTCAAACAGCTTTGTCTCCGTCTCCAGGGCCTCGGCCTCCTTGAACGACAGCGACCAAGGGGGTTGAATGGTGCTCGCAGGACCGCTCCGGGCCTGGGAGGCCAGGCCACAGAGGTGGGAGTTGTGAGGGCTGGCCCCAGGGAAATTGGGGAAAGGGACCTGCCCCCAACCCATCCCCCTTTGCTCTGCTTGGCTTTTTGCCCCTTTCATGGGCATCGCTGCCTGGAGTAGCAGAAAGGTGGAAATCGAACCCCCCAATCCTTCCCTGTCCCTTCCAAGCCACAGCACCGACCCTGGTGTGTCCGGCAGGAAGTGCAGGGCCCAGGTGGTCCCGTCCCACCGCTCTCCTGTCTTCCGGGTGGGTGGCCCTCGGGGGCCAGGGAAGGGGGGCTGGTGAAACTGACCCTTCTCAGCTGCTCCTGTAACTGTTCCCGCACTGACTCGGGGCAGTTATCGAGCTGCGTCTGGAGCTCGGCGTAGAGCGCCTGGCGGGCCTCCAGGTGCCTCCGTCCCGCGGCCAGCTCCGCCCTCTCCTGGTCGGCGGGAGGGGTGGGGAGGGCGGGCACAAGGGAGAAACAGAACACACACTCCTCAACTCTGGCCCGCGGGCAGCAGCGGCCATGGGGGGTGCAGGGGCGGGAGAGAGAGAGCTGGGGAGCCGGCAGGGGGTGGGGTGAGGAC